CGCATGCTCCCAGCGTCGCGTGGTGACTTCCGCTGTCGTAACAAAATGAAACAATCAACAAGAACTATCATGAACTAACTATGTGTTATTCGCTGGTTGTCTAACTTTTTATAAAATCGAAAATGTAGAGTAAATGTGGAGTCAGGTGTTTCTCACAGTTAGTCCTATCCTTTCCATCATGTATGTAAGTGATATGACATTAAATGATACAACTTTTAGCCTAACTTCACAATTCGGAGACGACGTGGCCATATGGAAGAGTTCCACGACCCTTTCGATTATAGCTACAAACTTACAGCCTGTCCTAAATCAAGTAGTCGAGTATTGTCAAAAGCACAGAATGAAAATATATGTTTCAAAAACGACCTAGCCTTATTTTCAAAACCGATTAAAACTCTTAGAAATCTTCCCGAGATATACTTGAACTGAGCTCTTCTAGTCTGGAACACACATATCATTCCAGTCTGGAACACACATATCACTCAAGTCAGGAACACACATATCATTCCAGTCTGGAACACACATATCAGTCAAGTCAGGAACACACATATCATTCCAGTCTGGAACACACATATCATTCCAGTCTGGAACACACATAGTGTTCCAGACTGGAATGAACATATCACTCAAGTCAGGAACACGTGTTCCAGACTTGAGTGATATGTGTGTTCCAGACTTGAGTGATATGTGTGTTCCTGACTTGAGTGATATGTGTGTTCCAGACTGGAATGATATGTGTGTTCCTGACTTGAGTGATATGTGTGTGCCAGACTTGAGTGATATGTGTGTGTGCCAGACTTGAGTGATATCCAGACTGGAATGATATGTGTGTTCCAGACTTGAGTGATATGTAACACACATATCACTCAAGTATGGAACACACATATCACTCAAGTCTGGAACAAAGAACAAACTATGTTAAGAGACTGACAGGTAAAAACACAGGAGCCTCACCAGATGATATAATCAAGATTTATAAACAATATATAAGACCAGTAATAGATTATGCCAGTCCAACATGGAATAATGTACCACCATCACACATTAATAAATTACAGACTGTACAACATGTAGTAATCACCACAGAGTACCAAGAACAACTAAAATAAAATTCGTGCATAAATACTCAAACATTAAACCAATTCAAGACAGACTTGTAGATTCCTCTTTCCAATACTCTATTACAAATATATATAAAAACGATTCGCTCAGTTTCTACAATAAGAAGGAGTCCACCTATACTAGCCCATAAAATATCGCTTACAATTAGGTATTACAAGTGTATTTCATTATACATGTAAAATACGCACTGACAACTATTTCAAGGGAAAAAAGTGACTTTTTACTACGGAACTGTTAGCGAGTGTATACGAACATATGATGAGAAACATTCAATATGGAACTGTTTGTAAGTATATACAAATAAATGAAAAAAATAGTAAACTAGCATTAAATGCTATAAATATTCTATTCATAGTCCTGAAGAAAGAAGTAGAATCAGTGTATTTACATTAGTGTTCAAGCCCTGATTTTGTGAAGAACTCTATAGCATTTTGACAGTTAGTAAAGGAGGGAGGAAGAGGTCCGAATTGAACCTGACACTATCAGGTCTCTCACAATTACCGGTCCAGACAAGACACTTGAAACAGAAGAGCCGGGCTAAATGTTGCCAAGTCAAACCTTTCTGAGCTACAAACTGTCTACATCAATGTTCCAGAGAGATAACCACAAAATATATACATATTACACACAACTGGCTGAGTTACTTCTTCAACGTCCAGTACATTATTTCTGAAGACAAAAAAAAAATCGCAACAAAAAAAGTTTCACGATCTAGCTAACCTTACTTTACTTTATAATAATAGTTAAATACCCCTCCCCTTATTGATATTGTTACGACAGCGGAAGTCACGTGACTCTGGTAATACGTCGTGAGTTTCTAGAAGGATCATGACTGTTCCTGGCAACTCTAGTGTTTGCCAGACGCCCTCTATTTTTGTATATAAGCCCGGCAAATAAAGCGGAGATATAATTGCAGATAGCATATTGAAGAGAGATATAGAGACAGATAATTGAGTCAAGTGAGCGGTAGTGACCGTAAGGAAAGTGCGTGAATCGTTGTGAATTATAGCGTGTGTTTAAGTTAAAGAGACTGTGGAAATTCTGTGTATTGCAAAGTTGTATTGAGAAAGAATAAACTAGTTTTATTTGAGAAAGGACTTGTATCGCTGAAGTTCCTCGGGAATAATTTATACCGGAAATTAACAAACGACCAGAGAAGTAACAGTATCAACAACAAAAAGAGTAGCCTATAGTTCGCCAGTTGTTCAATGGCGAGTAAAGTTAATTGGAGTGGAATAATATTAATAAAACCCAATTTGTTGTTAAAATAAATCAATAAATCATAAACCTAATTGTGATGTGTAATGATCTAAATGAAATTATCGCTCACCAACTTATTCTAGTTCACACCGAAACACTTCTTTTTCATATAGATAGATTCTCGACCACAACTATATTTGTCGTATCCTAGCCAGCCTGGTGGGTCCTGGTGTTTAGCGCAAGGCCTCGTCGGGAGGGAACATAACAGATACGGTGTGTTTGACATATTACTTCGTTATTCTTTAATTTCACGGTAAGTTGTTTCCTGCCTAACCTAGCTCTAGGTATGACCAATAATTATTAAATTATTTTATCATTAATAAATGTGCTTTTGTCTATAATCATAGCTAACATTTTGTCGTGTCGTAGTAGTAATTTCTTTGCTGTTGTAGTTTTCTCCACAATAGCCTCGAGCTTGCATCCTACATCATGGAGGGAGGAAGAGGTCAAACTTGCACTTGACCTTCCCAGATCCCCGATCACCTTGGCATGAAACAGCTGTTGAAACAGAGGAAAAGCAACACTTCACGAACGTCTTCTGTTTAATGATATAGGTTAATGTTTATAACCAACGAACTGCACTCACCATACCCCCTCCCACCCCCTCAATAACAGCGGATACGCAACAGTTGCTAACCGTACTCTGACTATCTATCAAATACTCACCCCAAACTATAAAACAAAAACAATAATAGATATAGCTGGGGATCATGCATAGCAGATCTTCGAGCTGCAAATCAAGTAACCCCAACTAGAATCCGAGTTATAGATAAACCATATCTGGGGGCTTTAAATTCAAATTCACGCAGGACGGATTATTTCTCACGCGGAATCTTTTCCTTCAGATTCCGGATAGTACAACAACCTCCGTGTACAACCGGAAGTGGATACAAGGACTTGGATTTACGAAGCTAAATTATCCCCTTATTTCGTCTTCAAAATGGAAATAAAAACATTTCATCAACTATTGTGGGAAAATATGACGACAGCAGAGTAATAAATATAGGCAGAAAGAACACTTTGGTATGACGACAGCAGAGTAATAAATATAGGCAGAAATAACACTTTGGTACAGGTACATAAGCCCGTTAATGAGAAATTTCTACTCTTACCTATTATCTCGCGTTCGCCGGATCTTAAATACATACTTATTTTTAAGGGAGAGTAACTGTTAAGTACATCATTCACTGATAACAAAACTGTGTGTGTTACTTGTAGTTATTCGTTTCAGTTGTGGCAGAAAATATATCGCACATTGTTCTCGAAAAATGCAATTTTTTTTTTATTACGTCTCCGCAGTTTCTTCATCTAAACACTTTTCAATCGTCTGCTATTCCTTCATTTCTTGGCGGATTGACTTGAAACTTGGTAGGGTTATACCTTGGCCCAATACGCTTAGAAAACATTTTTCACTTCTTTTATTTAGACCTTTTTAAGGATTTTATGGGGTCAATAGACAAACAACCCAAATATTTTGGCTCCTGTGCAGTCATATCTACAGTAACCAAACGAAACTGG